TTTAAATAACTAGAGAGTAGTGTGATTTCATGTCGTACTCTTAAATGTTTAGATGTTTCTGTCGGTGAGACATTTGTTATTGGGATTTCGTTTTCTAATATCGAAATATAACTATATATTATTGCGAAAACTTCATTGGTGAATATGGAGTTTGCTCTTTGTGAGTTATGATATTGGATGCTTTTTATATATTCTGAAAAAACTTTTGAAAATTCTAAATCAAGATCATCTGTTTGAATTGTATATTTTCTATTATTATGGTTTGGTGAGGTGAATTCTATGGAGTAGATTCCGTATTGTTGTGTTATGTTACATATATCTTTTAGATAGTGATCGATAATTTGTCTTTTGATTTTTACATCTGGGAACTCTGTTTTACATGGACTGATTCCGGGTTCAAATAAATTTAATAGTAAATTTTTGCAAAATATATGCTGTCCTCTATCAGTGGTTGCATCTATTATAAAAGGAAAGATTTCATCATCATCTGGACTTTCTTCACCTGGGGTGTGCGTTGAGCTCATTTTTTCGTTCGATGACTGTTAATATGTAATTATTAATGTGTCGAATTGGTTGATTCCAATTGTATAAATGTACTGGTTTGTGTTTATACTGCTTTTTTATTCTTCTTTTTCCTCTTTTTGATGAATTTGAAGTTGTTTCTGAGTCAAAAAAATATAATTGATCGTGAAGTGGGCAATTTTTATCTATTGTTTCTTTTAGTTTGTAAAGTTCGTCTAAACTGTTGGTTTCTGATTCTGAAAATGCGTTTCGATTTTTTGAAAATCTTTTTCGTGTTATTTGTCTTTGTTTCGTTATTATTTTTCTTTTTAGTGTTTGTCGTTTTGTTCGAATGTATCCAACTGTTTGTGTATGAGGTGTGATTACAAGGTCGTATTTTTTGTTATCTATTTCACAATTGTGTAAAACGATTGTTTGTTTATTTCCTAGGTTTTTAAATGACATAAGGTTTAGGATGACTGATGCAAAAGGTTGTTAAATGATTTCTATTTTCCTAAACTGTTAGTTCTTACGATTTTTTGGTTAGCTTAACCTGGGTCTATTTGTTCAGGGTTGGAGAGAAAAGTATATCGATTCCGAAGAATGATTTTTTACTTTCTCGTGGCTAGTATAAGTTAAGGTGTTAACTTACTTAATCTTACTTAGGGGTAGTGATTGTGTTCAAGGGTTGGAGAATAGTAAATCGATCCACAAGGTTCAGGTATAATTAGAACGCGAGTAGTTCGTTAGATACTATTTTAAACTTACTAAGTCTAAGATTTATCCTGGGTCTGGTAAGAGGGGGGGTCAAGTGAAGGATGAATAACCGAAGTTCTTCACTGTTTATCCTAATTTGAATGATTAGTTTTGTTTAAAAATTTCTATTAGTCTTAGGTCTTTAGAAAGGGTTGGGTAGTGAATCGACGTTTGAGGTCGTTAGACACTAATTAAATGGGTGGGGGAGAACAAAGTTGTTCTGTTTGATCCAAGGATAAGCCTTGATGATCAAATTTGAAATTTAATTAAGTAGAAAATGATTTAAGATCCAAGGATAAGCCTTGATGATCTGGTTTTAAAATTAAGTGAATTTAAGTTTTAATAAAATTTTAAATGTGTGTAAAGGAAAGATTTAGTGTTTTGATGATATTAGTGGGTTTATGATTGCTGTTATGTTTTAGATGATGGAGCTGGAACAACAGGATGATTTATGATTACTAACCATTTATTGTCATGCTACTAATTTTTATTTTTATTTTTCAATAAATATTTTTCAAACATGTTTTGTATATTACTGCAGAGTTTTAGGAAAACGATCTTAGATCTTTTTATCAATCGTTATTGTATATTAATAATTTTGTTTAGCGCCTGAAATGATTTTGAAGATTAACTTCAAGGTTATGTTTGCAAATGAAAATCTAAATTCATTGCTAGTAGTATTCTAAATACAAAAGTTTGTGTTGGCTTTTGCCGAACTATCATATAACTATATGGTAAGTTTCTACTTTGTCGTATGTCGTCTCTGGTTCGAGGTCTTCTTCCAATTCCGGGTAGTTCTGTTATGGTTCGGAATATTGGCTCTGATCTATTGAGTCGTAGAGACATTTCGATTAAATTATTGTCGTATAACATTTTTTAAATGTTTTTGTCTAATTTCTAATCTATTTTGGTTAATTCTAAGCTAGTAAGGTCTTGTTCGAGACTTATGGTCGCACCAGATGAGTTAGGACCGAGTTGGTTAACTCATAGAGTAATTTCGGATAGGGTACACCGTCTGCTCGTCACGCTATCTTATTTTCGGCCGGATAGATTCGTGCAACTTCTTAGTCTAATACCGATCCTAATCTTACTCTTATACTATCTAGTCTCAGGTTGTTTAACTAGTCTCTGCTAGGCTCAATAGATCTAGGGTATACTGGTTTATTGCGGCTGCTGAAGTGCTCGGGGGAGTCCAACTAATTTCTAAGTTAAATTCAAATCTCTCTGGTGCTGAAATTACAAGTAACTTCAGCACTTACAAATAAGTGGGTTGTTAGTTTGATGGATCATGATTGGTTAATATTAAATACTTTACATTGGTAAAATATCTAAATTATCCAATCATAAAATGTAGTTTAGATCAGGTTCCACTTCTTTAGGTCGCGCAAATTCGCAACATATCTTTTCTGGGTCGCGCAAAGTCGCATAAAAACTCTTCGGTCACGCCAAGACGCAGCATACCCATTTTGAAATGCAATGGTTGCAAAATAAGTCCCAAACTTGACTCGGGTTTGACTCTCTCGACCGAAATCGGATATGTTTCGACTTTGTATTGGACTTAAAATTGCTTCTCGACCGCTAAATTTCAGTCGCAAAACTGCACGTCCTCGACTTTCAAATTTGAAACACTTTTCGAGCACCTCCCCCTGGTTCCTAGCCCCGATTTGGTGGCGAGTATAGTAAGCCTCATTTTCCGAGCGTCTTCATATTCGCATCATTTCTATCTATCGAAACTGACAAACTTAAAGGCGACAGGACAATAAGACACGGTAGGACATAAAGACCACAAATAACGGACTTATTATATTTAAAACGGTGGCGTGCGCAGGGGGGGGGGGGGGTCGGAAAAGTTTTGAAAAATTTGCCGACCTTTTTTTTAGGTCGAACAATTTCATTTTCCTAGCTCTCCGAAAATACTATACGAACCCTATTTTGTCAAAAATTTTCTGCGCCGCAGTCAAACGTTTTAAAAAACAGGTTAAAAAGTCATTTTTAGACTTTTTGGATATTTTTGGCCAGATAATTGCGTTTTTTCGGCGCGCGCGCCCTCAATTATTCATATTGGTGCTGCAGTCGCCTTAATAAATAAATTGAAAATTGGTTAGCAAAAAGTGGAGGAGGTAACACTATACTAAAGGTGGACCCTTAAGAAAAATTTGGCAATCAGAATTGAGGGAGGAAGCCCCCCCCCCCCCGCAATTTTTTATAAAAACCAGTTTATCATCAGGAAAATCTTTTATTGTTCCGACTTTCGATACGAAAATAACGGAATATTGTGCTCGGAGTGGGTTTTTTTTCTTCAGACAAATTTCGACTTTTTAACTAGCCATTTTTGACAGATTTTTTAAATATCATTCAAAAAATATTGTTGTCCTTAAATTTCAAAAGATCTTTCACCTGTGATTTTTTTTGGTTTAAAGTTACTGGGGTTTAAAGATTGCCATTTTGGCCAATTTGGGACACTAAACGCGCGATATATTTCGCGCTATTAACTCGTAAGCGGAGAGTTTAGAAATCGTTCCAAATTGGTTAAAAGAAGCTTATTTGCCATAATTGATTTGTTACAAGGAGCGAAATCTATCCTTTTGTACTTTATATGGCGTGTGGGGGGATGATTTTTATTTAAATATTTTTTTTTGTTTTATTTCATTGAATTGTTTAATGTTATTACTGCTCCATAAACCTTAAAAGGCAGTCGGAACATTCAGGGCTTCGCCCTGATGCGAGCAGTGTTGTTTGATTTTAATAGTCAAAAGCACACAAAAATGACCAACACCAAAGCTAGAGCTTCAGTTGGATTTTTCAAAACAAAGCGAGACTATGGTAAAATATAAATGGTGCTACGTAAATAAGACGACAGGCCATTAAGACGACAAGACATTAAAGCTACAAATAAGAGTTATTACATGTAAAATGAGCAGTTCGATCATTTAAGCAGATTGAATTTCTCACAAATACAATCAGGAGAATTGTGTGTAGAATCCGCAAATTCCCATCAAAAACGTTTTTGTCGTCTTAACGGCTGTCGTCTTATTTGCCGGTCACCAAAATATATGTATAACCGGTTATAGACATAATCTGGAGGCGGAACAATTAGCAGTACGGTCTAAGAGCAACATGGGTCCAACAGCTCAAAAACAGAACAAAATTAACCTTGGATCTTTGTAAACTATTCTTGGATCTTTAACCTTGGATCTTTGCAATGGGGGGGGGGGCGGAAATAGTTAACAAGTTATACAAATCTCGTAATGCTTAACTGTTCAATTCTTTCTTTAACGGGGATGGGCGATGGGGCGATATTCGTTACAAGGTACTAGCGGGGGAATAGTTAACAAGATCCTTAATTTTTACCGATTAATACGGGCGAATATATATAGAACAATTAGCAGATTCGTCAATAATACCAAGAAAACGAATAAATTATTGATGAATTGAATAAATTTATCAAGTTTTTTTCGTTGAATTTTTTGAAAAATCTCAACTAAATTACTCAAATTATGCATAAAATATTAGTTTCTTTGGTTTTATTGACTATCATTATACTCAATTTACCGATCAGCATATAAAAGTTAATAATTTTTTGTTTTCTGCTCTTGGACCTATTCTGCTTTTAGACCATTCTGCTTATTGACTGGCCAACATATACTCTTTTACACATATATTTGCGATTAATGCATAGATATTATGGTTCCATTGCTGTATAATATATTACGTTCAATCTATTTCTGAGAAATTCACTTCACTATTTTTATGCTTTTAATTCAACTTTTACCGCAGCAAATTCTGTCTTTCTCAAATTTTGAGCAACCAGTAAAATAAAATCAATGGTTTTGTCTTTTTTACGTGATTCGCTCAGGAGATTTTTTTAATTGACCAAAGCAATTTAAAAATTTTATGTGGCTGACTGTTTAAAATCATCAATTCGGGTAAGTAAATTTGTGTTCCATTTTTGTAGCAGAAAATAGCTCCTTGTTTATGAAAGAGATTGTGTACATTCAACAAATTAGTTATATTCGCGGACGGAGACAGATTTAAAGACAGTTAGTGATAGATTTCATCAAAATATAAAGAAACTGGGGTCAAGTTTTTTTATCATAAATTCTATGTGAGATCAAACGGCGATGTCCCGCAAATGAGACAGTCGATAACTGTTGGGGCTACCGTTTCGTGGGACTTTAAGACGACGTTACGTTCGCTAGTAATAGATTTCACTGAAATTCAAATATTCAATGTACATGATTTATATCTCAGTTTTTGTCTTAATGTAGGAGTTTTGACAATTAAGTAGCGCAGAGTAGTTATATTTTTCTGTCCTGAATGCGGTTTCAAAAATGAAACTTCAGTCTTTCCGATCAATTAAATTTCTATGAGCTGCGTGAAAAACTATTCAAACGAATGATAAACACTCTTTATTATTGTTTCTTAGGGTGTGCTACAATTATCAAGGGTGTTAGGGTCCTACAACGCGGCCATGCGGCCTCCTTATTAGAAGCTTTAGAAGTGAACAACTAAACGGGCTATAAGCCAACTGTTTCTTAACATTTTGTTGTATTTATACAACTACTCAATTAATTGAGTTAATCGCAAAAAAAGTTAGGGTCCTTTATGTCAAACATCCGAAATTGTGTAAAAATTACGTAATAATTTGACGTAAAAAGTTCAGGTGATGGTTCGGTATCGAAAATTAAAAAGCTATTAAAAGCGTCGAAATTTTTTTGTACCAAATTATAAATAATTGGTTTGAATATAACACACTGTGGCACATTTCCGACTTTAGTCCAGTATTTGTTCAAATTTTGGGCTCCTCTGCGGTAAAACTGCTTGACCTCCTCAATGTAAGATTTCCCTTTCGCATTTCTCAGAAATGTGTTTAAAACAATCCTTTTTCGTTTTGTATTTCTCAGAAGTGTATTTGAAGCAATCATTTTGCGCTGGTAATAGCTATTAAATTTTCGGCGCTGTGAATAGCTGAATAATTTTTGGCGTTATGGACAACTTTTTAATTTTTGGCATTGTGAATATTCGGCGCTGTGGGAATACACCGATAGTTCATGATCAGGACCCAACTATCATGTTTGAACCGAATGTCAAAACAAGACAACTCAATTAGCCGGTTCTAATTTAGCCTCATCTCAGCTTAAGGTAGCCGGTGGGCGCGCGTCGCCGCTTCACGGCGATAACCGGATCTGCTTTTCATATAGATTGCTACCTTCTGTTGGCAAGTTCACAACACCTTGGACGCGACTCCCACGATCACTATTAGTTCGACCAGTACAGCGGCTGTGACAGATTTCGTCCAATGATAGATCTCGTCCCATTTTAATTTCAACAGGTTTCGTCCCATTTCAAAGCGTACGACAGATTTGGATATGGGATGATAGGATGTTGGACATGCGACGAAATCTGTTAATTAAATAACTAGGACGAAATCTGTAGTAGGACGAAATCCAAAACAGCATCTTTTAAGCGAATATATGAAGTCGGATCTTTGCGCTACTTTGTGAAAAATGTCGGATTTTTAGTCTAGCAAAGCTGTTTTCCAGATGTTTGCAACTCTGGTTGGTTTTTCGGAAGTTTGACATATCGGATGTTTGCATGGTACCCGTTTTTAGAGCATCTGAAAAATATTGATGTTCTTAGCCCACATCTGAGCAAAACAAAATAGTTCATCTGCCGGTATATTTTTTATTTACAACGAGCATTTATTTTCTTCTATTCCATATAATTCCATGCGTAGTGAAATTTTGTGAAATCTCATAGATGAACATTTTCCCACATCATTTGTGAAAATTCAATGAGCAGCATTTTTTCCGTTATTGTTCCGACTTTCGATAGGAAAGTAACGGAATATTTGTGCTCGGGGTGGATTTTTTTTCTTCCGACAAATTTCGATTTTTTAACTAGCCATTTTTGACAGATTTTTTAAATATCATTCAAAAATATATTGTTGTCCTTAAATGTCAAAAGATCTTTCAACTGTGATTTTTTTTTCGTAAAGTTATGGGGGTTTAAAGATTGCCATTTTGGCCAATTTGGGACAATTAACGCGCGATATATTTTTCGCGCTTTTAACGCGTCAGCGGAGACCTAACCCGTCTTAGATATCGTTCCAAATTAGTTGAAGGAAGATTGTATGCCATAATTAATATGTATCTAGGAGCAAAAGTGATCACTTTGTACTTAATATGGCGTGTGGAGGAGGGATGATTTTCAAAAAAAGTTCTCAATTTTTTAAAAAATTTTCTTAAAATTTTTTTTCTATTACATTTTTTTTATTCTCCTTCATATACCTTAAAAGACAGTCGAAACATTCATGACTTCACCCAGATACGAGCAGACTTGTTATAAATCGAAAAATTTTCCTAATTTTGCTATACGTTTTTGTTTCATGTCTGAAAACACAATAACCAGGGACTTTTTCCAATAGGAACGCAACCTGGTTAAATGGTGATAATCTCACTAAAAACTGCTTTATCCCGCCATCTAAGCTAGTGTAGCAAATTTGTGGCTAACTATTGCCATGATTGTGGCCGATTTGGTGTTGAGACGCGCCATCTAAGCTAAAGTAACAAGCTTTAAACCGAATATTAGGTGAAACCGTAAAGTTTTGTATACGACTAGAAAGCTTCAATTGCGAAAAGATCAGTAGTTTTAAAATGTTGCCTATCTTTTGGACAGTTTAATATTTTTCGTACTTTATCAAAACCTTAAATCAGTACAGATGATTTCACTCAAAATAATCTAACTTCCTTTGCAATTTCCCGAATTCCCCGTCACATAACAAAGATATGTGACTACGGCTTCCCTTACTAAACACTAGAAGAAGGAACCCCGGTCGAGGAACCCCCAGCAACGTTTTAACCAGATTTTTGGTCCCCAATTTCCCTTTGTGCCTTGTAAGTCTTTAATGTGCCCTGTGATGCAAGAACTGGTTACTAAGGATTTTGTTCCGACCATTTGAAAAATGCGGAGGAGCTCAGTATTCGTGCGTGTTTTTTTTCTTTTCAACTTTCCAAGCAAAATCAGGTACGACAATTAATCTTCGGAATGGGTCGAGCTATATATCAGTATTAAAGTTCTTTAAGTCATGATTCGAACTATTTTAAAAATTTTGAAAATGTTCAGCTCTCACTTTTTTAGTTGGACCACCTGGAAGTTTAACAGCAAATGTTTAACGGCATCACTAGTTCCTAGTCATAATGAATCTCAAGAAAGATAACTCGAATGAGCCAGCTTTTTCCTACCTTCCAGTGATCTTAGGACAGCAAGCTATAGAAAGTACGGACTTCGAAAACTTCCCCCTGCCTCCCGATTACAACGATGCCTCTCGTGGTTTCGACGATACGAACCGATCCTGCGAGTACCTCCGACAACCTTCGTATGCAAACAGGAGTAGCAACAACAACGACCCGAAAAACCAATCAAATTGCCGCAAACTAACTTCTCGATATTTCGGATTTGAGATCACGAAACGTTTTAATTTCTTGATTTTTGTTTTAATTTTCACCACAATCCTTGTCGCTTCCGCTTCGTTCATATCTTTGACAATACTTGGGACAAATTATGCTGAAAATGAGTCAATTCATGAAATTGACTTGAAGTCTAAACCTGAATTAAAATCACTGTTTGGTGCTAACGAGGCTAGATTCCGAGCAAACGACGAGGCTTTCAGCCAATCACTCTTGTTGAAAACTCCTCCTACTAATTCGACCGTGGAAGAATGTGTAACGCACATCAGCTACTCGAACGAGTGCAAATGTTACAAGGTTTCAATTTTTTTTTTATTTTTTGTAAATAAAGCTTGCGAAAGGGTAAAAAAAATGTTATCTAAGTTTTCTGTTATTGAGCTGTTTCTTCAGTTTTCCATTCTTAAGTTATCTCCGAAAATACGAAATACGCAAATTTCAGAGAGTAAAAAATACGGTAAAATATGAGAAACGTCATATTTAAGAATTGTTCATTTTTTTGAGATACTAAATTGAGACTATTATTGAAAAAGTTCTTAATAATATCTTTGCATAACTGATTTTTGATCCCAACTTTTGAAAAGTTTGATTTGATTTGATTGGCAGGTGAACCTGAGTCAGATCTCTGCCTCAGTTGCCATTTCGAAACTGAAGAGCTGGCTGCTCAGTTGTCTCTACGAGGAACAGTACCAGAAGATGTTCATTTACACTGGCACTAAAAGCGAGGTAAGCCAAAAAACAAAATATAATAAAAAAAATTCACATTTTTGGGAGAAACCAAATTCTTTCAAATCTTGCGTGGAGTTCAAAACATATCCAAAAATAACCAGCTGATTTTAGCGAATTCCTCTTTTTTTTCCAGCTGTATGAACGGGACGTGCACCCTAGCGTGAAAAACTGGCTGAGTCAGAAACAACTGCGCTTCGAAGACAGAGGAGACCATTTTGTGGTTCACGAGAAAATCACAGTTAAAGGTCACATGATCAAGGTCACATAATCAAGAGATGAGGAGCAGATGTATTACTGTTATAAGTTTGTAGTGCCATTATGACCTCACCCTGTATAATAATTTTGTTTTGATTTTTTCACTTGTAATGAACTCCCTTTACCTAATCAGAAAAACGACGAATGTGTAAGATTAATTTTGAATCGAAAATTTGAGCACTTAATGGTGAATTAAAAATAAGTGTGATTTTTAATTTTCGTTTTTAGTTCTTTTGCAGGCATACATGTAATTGTAGTAAACTGCTTGCTGATATTTACTTCATAATCAAAATAAATTCTTTTCAATTCATGCTGTTTGTGTTCTCTATTACTAATTCAAAATCTGAATATTTCAGTTTCCTGATCATTGAAGCGAAGTTTGAGAATTCTTCAATACTGATCCATGAAGTGGTGACGTAACTGTGGCCTAGGGTTCTGCATCTCGGGATTTTGAATACCTTTTTTTAATAATCTCGAATATCCTTTGATTTTCAATCTTTTGAAAAGCCATTTGGTTTCCAAAAAAAATCAATTAGAAAAATTGCGGCAAGGACGGAAATGTTCTATGGTCTAAATATTTTTGTTTTGCAAATTAATAACTAATTAAAAACTCTTCATTCTAATAAATTTTGATTCCGCTCAAAAATAATAAAAAATAGAAAAGAAATTTTATATGTTTTCATCAGTTACGGCCCCCTAAATGATAGAAAATAAAAATTTTTCGGGCAAAGTTAGACTGATTTTCCTTAAAAACGCAGGCTGATATCCCGAGCGTTAAATCAAGCTAGAAACTGGCAAAAAATTTGAAATTAACCACTATTAAAAAAGAACATTTAGCATCCTTTTTATGAAAATTTAGCTCAGAAAGTTGGAGAAAAAAGTCAGTTTGAGGCTCAATTAAGTAAAAACGGTTCGTTTTTACCGGTCCCATAATAATATTGTGCATTTCCTAGTAACAGCGTTCTAATTTTAGAAACCAAAATTTTCATTTCATTTTTTTCGTAATTTAGGTGGGGGGGGTATAACCGAAAAGACCCAGTTAAGGCCGTAGCTTTCTTTGCTACTTGCACATTAATGCTTTATGTTTTCAAAAACCAGTAAGTTTTCAGTTCCGAAGAAAGTGAGGAATTTATTTGGTTGGCGTATTTTTTATTCAGATCAATTACCAAACGACAAGCATCCAAGTTTAGGTGTAAGTAATCGATTATAACGAATTATTATGATGATTTTTTGACAATTATAATTGATTATAATTGCAAAAATTAGGTGTTTAAAGGATTTATAATTGATTATAATCGTGATATTTTCCAAGAGATTATAATCGATTATAATTGATTTTAACTCTTACAAAAACTCCTTGAAATCAATTTTAATCGATTATATCTCTTATTTTGCCGAAACTTGGTGAATTCAAAACTATATTCGAATTATCTTTCTTGGGTTATTATTTTTATGTCAATAAGAACATCTTGATAAGAGAGATCTCTTGAACACTTTGGTTCATCTGAACACAAAGTTTTAACACGAAACAAAAGTTTAAAGAGATCCTTTCATATTAGTGGATACGCTCCCGCGGTAAAAAAAAATATATCTTCCGAATCAATCATGAAACTAAATCAAATTGCTGATGTTTTGGTGGTTAAAAAGCTTAAATATTTTATCACAAAACAACTCTAATGGGGAAGAAATGAAAAAAAAACCTTATGAATTCAAATTGATTGGAAAACTTTAAAGACATTTTTCTCATTTTTGATAGGAACCAACGTCTACAAAAAGCAAAAATATAAGCAATTTAGGTGCAACTTCGAAGACAAAATGGACAAACAAAAGGGATTATAATCAATTATAATGGATTTATGTGCAAAACTAATGAATTAGAAATTTGAATAAAAATAAGGTATTGTAATCAATTATAATTGATTATAATTGGATCGAAAAATAGACGAATAAATGATAGATTATAATCGATTATACTTGATTATAATTAATTATATTTTGATTCTAAAAAGAGAGATTATAATCGATTAATAATTGATTAAAATCGATTTTTTCTCAATTTTAGTAAGACTGGTGGCTAAAATCGTAATATAATCGATTATTAATGCTTGAAACTGGAAATTATTCCACTCTAAAAAATCTAAGTTGAATTGAAACACTTAATTGGTCATACAAATTTCAGCTCTTGATATTTAACATTAGCAGCTCAAATTTAAAGTTTATCAACCGCAGTTTTTATAGCATAAAACAGTTGAGACTAATTAAAGGGCAGTCGGAACAATCAAGTATTTGGTCTTCTGGTAAACAAGCAGTCTTGTTTTGAAACAAATTCGTATGCGCAACATGTGTTCCGAAAAACCAAACTATAAATAAAAACTTCAAGACCAACAAATAAACAATCGTGAATGGAGATCTTGATATCATGCATTTTGCATTCAGCCATAATAGAATGTAAAAACAACGAAGTTGGTTAACATGCAAACACTGAAAAAGCCTGATTTTGCGAGAAAGCGTTGCGATTTAGCTGAAATTTGAGTGGCCAGATTTTAAAAATTTTCTGGTGTACTATAAAAAATATCTACTAAACGCATTTTCTGAAAGTTTTAAACTATAAGTAGGGGAAAGGAAAATTTTGTATGCTTCGGGAACATCATTGGAAAAACTGATTTTGCTGTTTGAAGCATTAAAAGCTTTTTTTTTGTAGAATGAACCTTAATGACGAAATTGTTCTTTTATTCCCATTTCAATTTGTAGATTCTTAAGGATGAGAGCAGACTACTTAGATTCTAGAAATTGAGTAGGTTTTTGTTCCGACTTTTGATACGAAAGTAACGGACTATTTGTGCTCGATGTGGGTTTTTTCTTCAGACAAATTTCGACTTTTTAACTAGCCACTTTTGACGGAATTTTTCAATTTAATTCGAAAAGTATTTTTGTCCTGAGCTCAGACTTGAAAAGATATTTCACTTGTGATCCTTTTTTGTAGATTTACGTGGGTTTAAAGAATGCCATTTTGGCCAATTTGGGACAATTAACGCGCGATATATTTACGCGATAAGCGGAGAAATAATCCGTCTTAGAAATCGTTCCAAATTGGTTGAAAGAAGCTTATTTACCTTAATTGGTTTGTTACAAGGAGCGAAATCTATCTTTTTGTACTTTATATGGCGTGTGGGGTTATGATTTCCATAAAAAATTTCAAATTTTAGAATTTTTTTTTCATTTTGTGTTATTAAATTTAATTTTTTGGCTCTTTTTCCTTTTCCTCCCCACCTCACACAAGCTTCAATATATTAATGTAACAAATGGTTTTACGAGGTTGAGTATGAAGACCAAATATGTTTGTTTTGGCCTTATTAGTCTGTATTTAAATTTTCTTAAAAATCGGACCATGTGGTCAACAAATTTACATGTAAAAAATTGCAGGTGGGGGGAAAAGGAAAGAGAGCCAATTTTTTTATGTTATTTTTTTTCAATTTGTGTTATAACATTTAATTTTTTGGCTCTTTTTCCTTCCACCCACCTCACACGAACTTCAATATATTAGTGTAACGAGTTTGTTTTACGCGGTTGAATATGAAAACCAAATATGTTTATTGTGGCCTTATTAGTCTGTATGTAAATTTTCATAACAATCGGACGATGTGGCCAAAAAAATTTACATGTAAAAAATTGCAGGTGGGAGGAAAAGGAAAAAGAACCAATTTTTTTAAATGTTTTTACTGCTCCATAAACCTGAAAAGACAGTCGGAACTTTCAGGGCTTCGTCCTGATACGAGCAGTTTTGTTAATTTTGGTTTTTAGCTTGCTCCAAATGCGTTAAAATTTTTATCGAAGTTGCTCACCCGTAAAAATTTTTTTATCGAATCAACTCAATTTTTTTTAATTGTAGCAGTAGTATCATGAAATAATCTTTATTCTATAATAGTTCTTCAAATAAAAAACAATGGTGAGAAACGGCCAAATGTGTAATGGCTGATAAATTTCTGCAAAAACAACAATACTGCTCGTATCAGGGCGAAGCCCTGAATGTTCCGACTGCCTTCAAAAGTTTATGGAGCAGTAATAACATTTAAAAATTAAGTGAAAATAAGAATGAATTTTTTTTGTCTAAAATTTGAATTTTTTAAATGAAAATCATCACCCCACACGCTATTTAAAAACAAAAGGATAGATTTCGCTCCTTGTAACAAATAAATTATGGCAAATAAGGTTCTTTCAATCAATTTGGAACAGTTTCTTAGACGGATTAATTCTCCGCTCACGCGTTAATAGCGCGAAATATTGTTCCAGTTGGCCAAAATGACAATATTTAACTTTAAACCCCTGTAACTTAACAAAAAATGATCAAAGGTGAAATATCTTCTCAAATTTGAGCTCAAAGCAACAATGCCTTTTGAATGATATAAAAAAAATTTCCGTCAAAATTGGCTATTTAAAGAGTCGAAATTTGTCTGAAGAAAAAAACCACCCCGAGCAAAAATATTCCGTTACTTTCGTATCGAAAGTCGGAACAAAAAATGAAATAAAACGAAAATGAGTGCATTAACTCGAAATTAAGAATTTTATCTGTCCTACTTCTAAAACTCAGATTACTTCTATAGTTACGCGTTAATAGCGCGAAATGTATCGCGCGTTGAGTGTCCAAAATTGGCCAAAACTGCAACGTTTAAACCCTCATAAGATTACGAAAAAAGATCACAGGTGAAATTTTTTTTCAAATATATGCTCGGGACAACAATATCTTTAGAATGATATTTAAAAAGTTCTGTCAAAAATGGCTCATTAAAAAGTTGAAACTTGTCTAAAAAAAAACGCACCCCGAGCACAAATGTTCCGTTACTTTCGTTACGAAAACAGCTTTGGAAATATGATGTGTTATTTGAATTCATGTTTGTTCTTTAAACTACTCTCGTAGAATGGGAAGGATCTACACGTGTTTTTCTTCCGAGTCTTAAATCCTCAAAGCTTGTCAGTGGTGCGACTGCCATGAGCCCTTCGTGAATCGGATTTTAAAATAATTCGATTGTCATTAAATTTTATATAGTGACCTTTTCGGAACTTCTTTAAATCATTTTTGTCAGAATCTTTTGCAATGAAGGCATAAAGTATTGGCTGTTGCTCCTGAAATTGCGACTAAACGGGTTGCAAAGCAAGCAACCAAAACATGAAATTTCTGAAACATGGGCATGATTTTTGTCGTTTTTTGGGGGGTGAGGTGGATCGAATTTTTAGCCAATTATTAATAAAAGACATAAGTCCAAGTTTTGTAGGCTGACTTCAAAACTAATCCTTGATTTGGTCTTTTGTAGAAATTCGATCATTTTTTGCGTCGCAGGTGTTTCTTCATATCAAACAAATGACCTTTTTATCTTTTTACCCTATCTTCAAAGTTTTGTACTTTTTTTCTGTTCACCTTGTCCAAGTGTTGCAAAAATTGACAAATATAATGAATAGGCCATGGCAAGCTTATTTGGTATTTACTCAACATTTCAAAACCCTCGTTACACTATATACAAATGATGCTGGGGGTTTCAAAATGAGACTGATTATTACCCTTCCCATGGAAAATTGTAGATAAATATTTCAAACTGGGTTTGCCAGAAAAAACGCAAAGTATCATTTAAATGAGCCACCGTACCTGGGCACTTTTGATAAAGCACAGAAAAACAATACTTTTGAACTTCGAACTGAGTACAGGTAGATCGATGGTTCTTTCTTGAACATTTCAGCGCAGAGTGACTAATAAATTATATCAAGATAGCAGTTATGTACTCACATTTAGCTTCTTTACGATTTCATCGGGGTCAACAACACACTGATTGCATGAATCCTAGAGGCAAAATAAGGTATTAGGTAACAATTTTCACGGAGCCGGAAGTTAGCTGATGATTTTTGAAAAAAAGGTCTCACATCATTTCCAGAAGATATGCCAGGAGATCCGCGGTCACCTTTTGGTCCCTAGAAAATAATTTGTAAAAAATTATTAGTTCTAAAATTTATGCTTTCGTAGAGTTTAGACTTCACAATGAATTACCTTCAAATCTTTGTCAGCAAGATAGCGATTTACTTTCTTTTCGATCTAAAATTGAACAGTGTTTTTTTTTCAAATTGATAGGCAGTGTTGTTATATAATTGTTGCGTAATCAGTACAGAATCTTACCTCATCGTCAGACAAAGGCAATGGAGGTTCAACTCCGCTCTAGAACAACAGAATGACTCACGATCCAATTTTCATAGCAGAAAAAAAGTTATAAAAAAACTTTTTCGAGTGGAAATAGTGACTTACACTTGCCCCCCTCTGTCCAGGGGGTCCCCTTGCACCCTGTTCTCCGGGGGGTCCTTGTTCCCCCTTTTGACCTGTCAGCCCATTTATACCAGCTGGTCCCTAAAACAAAACAATTTTTAAATCATCGTAATTCTCTCCATGCCTCAATTTTTCGTCGATATATTATTATGAGAATTATTGATTTTTTTTTCAAATGTTTAATAAAAAATCAAAGACTTCCGGGTAGGGTTCCTGAATAGCTCCTGCCTGGAAGTCCAGGATTGACCTACTCTCTTTAAATTTCTGGCATGAAGTCCAAGGTTTTCCCCTGGCTATGTAACGCGGAAAAAATTTGTAGCTGTGCAAATACGATACAATACGTTGGTCGCGAAAATCATTGAAATATGTTACCAGAAAGTTTCAAAAAACAAATTCCAAATTTTTTCATGAGCCCTTGAGTCATAAATTAAGTGGATTATATATTAATATGAAAACCCAACTTTTCTCTTTTCTTAACACGACGATCATTGGAGTCTTACTTTAACACGAGTCGAGTACCTCACGTTAAGCTTCGGTATAATCGATTGACCCGGACATTGAGTTCGATTAGTATGAAGTTTCAAATAATTGTAGCGACCCAAAATTACAATTGTCACTAGCAGGTGTTGCATAATGAATTGATAATCACCTGAGGTCCCTGCAGTCCACGAATACCCTAAACATAACAATTATAATTTATAATAAAGAAAGTCGCATAACTCATTAAATATTTATAACAAACACAAGAGTAGCCTGTTGTAGCAGATTGTTCCGAAGAGGGTAATATTATCTCGAAAAAAAAAACTTGCATCAAAAATTGTTCAGCTTTTCTGTCAAAACTCTCGGCCGTTATCTTGGTATTAGTAGCCGCTTGAAATAAAACTTCTTTATGAGAACTTTTAAGTTAAAATTTAGACCCATTGAGAATGGTCGGAACAAGGATTTCACTGGTTGGAAAACTCTTGGTCAAACGAATACTATTTAATAGCTGAACGTTTTGTTAGATGCGTTGCAAAGTTTATCTTTGAGAAAATTCATTTTTATTGTACCAAAAACGTATTTACATTTTTCTACTATATACATATTTGCCACGTGTTTTTGATTGCAAGTTTCAGCGAAGTCGGAACCAATAAAACCTATAAAATTTGCAGTTGAATACACTTGGCCACCTACCTGGTCGCCCTTGGGTCCCTGAGTCCCTGGATCTCCCTTCACACCCGGTTTGCCCATTTTACCAGTCAGACCCACAGGACCCTGGAACAAATGGTTCATAACGCCATGAGTTTACTGGATTTTTGGGGGCTTCAGATTGTTTTGTTTTCTAGTTTGAAATGGTTATAGCGGTGAAAAAAAACTCACCGGAAATCCGTTTTTACCCGAAGCTCCAATTGGTCCGACAGGGCCCTGAAAAATTTTTAAAAAACATGAAAATCAAAGCTCATTTTTATTCTCAGTAAGCGATTCAAAGGGATCGGAGCGGATTTAAGGGGATCGTCCGCTCTCCCACGCCTCAGATATTTAGCCCCTGCCCACCCAAAGTGTACCCCTCTGGTAACTTTCAACGAAATCCATTTTCGGCCGACCGTCACTTAAATTTTCCTAAAGTCATCTAGAGCACCAGCACATACTAATTTTATAGCAAAGAGCACGCCTTTTTTGTCGAAACCTTCCATAAAGGGTTAACCCAACTCCCATCCTCTCCCCAAAAAAACGCTAGATTTGCATCTGCCCAAATTAGTATATTTTGATTAGTTTCACCTTATTCACAACGAGTAGCAACAAGACATGACCTGATTTTGCGGTTAAAATATATTACTCTTTAATCAGCATACATTTATTGTTTGTAACACAAATTCAAGTATGGTAATTTCCAAAGCGTTTTCTTACCATTGGTCCCGGGTAGCCTAAAAGTGGAAACAATTCAATCATTATATTTTGAAATCCTTCAGAATTAGCTACGTATACCTTTTAGGGAACATTGAGTAAACATATTACACTTTCCAACAGGTGTTTGTGGTTTAAAAACTATGAACATTCAGTTCTTTTCTGGACAACCCAACACAGGTTTGGTCAATTCTGGTATAGAGTACATTAACTCAAAACCACAGATACTTGAGCAAAACAACTGCTGATAGTTATAAGACCGTCTTATTAAGACGTCTGCCCGTGGCTAAATACTCGGAATTGTTTACAAATGTATCTTAACTTAATAAATAAAGAAGATTATTCACGAGCCTAAAGTGTGTATGTGTGGGGGCTTGGTGTGTTAGACCTTCATATGATATTTCCGGATGACACTGTTTATCTTATTGAAGACTCTCAAGCTCAAAGTACCTTTGAGATTTCAGAGTCATGTTTCAATTGGTGTTTGAACTGTCCTCGTGATCATGATAAACAGGAAAATGTTATAAACATTTCACAAATTTTGAAGTCAGACAGATTGCGCCTTACATAACAACGAGAAAGCAAAAAATCTAAGTAAAAATAAGGCCCCTTGTATCAGGGCGAAGTTCTGAATATTCCGACTACCTTATAAGTTATATGAAGCAGTGTTAATTTTATAACAATTGATCAATTTTTTTAAAAAAATGAATTTTTTTAAATTGAGATATATATATATATATATATATATATATATATATATATATATATATATATATATATATTTATATATATTTAAAATCAATCCATTTAAAGTACAAAGTAATAGATTTCGCTCCTAGTAACATAATATGGCAAATAGCTTGCTTCAACCATTTGGAACGATTTCTAAGACGGATTGAAACTCCGCTTACACGTTAATAGCGCGAAATATATCGCGCGTTAATTGTCCCAAAGCGGCCAGAATGGCAATCATTAAACCCCATATGTTCACAAAAAATGATCACAGGTGAAACCTCTTTTTAAATTTTGTCTCAAGACAACAATACTTTTTCAGATGATATAAAAATCCCGTCAAAAACGGCTAGTTAAAAAGCTGATATTTGTCTGTGCAAACACCACCCCGAGAACAAGTATTGCGAAACTTTCTTCGAAAGTCGGAACAACTAAAAGTGGCAAATTTTTATTTTAGTATTTTAGTACACGCAGTCTTATGTAAAGTTGACAAAATTGAATATATAAAAGTCTAAATTGCAACATTTGAATCAATAAGCTAGACTGAACTCAATTTGGATTGAATTTCTAGCTAATTTTTTTTTGCAGCGTACGCAATGCATAATTTAGGAAATTGATGTTTCGCAAAAAATATCATAATTTAGCTAAATTGGAAATCTTCGAATCCCAGCCATAATAACGCGCAAAAAACGCGCAATAAAATTTGCGCTATTAATGCGTATGCTGAAATTTAATCCGCCATAAAAATTGTTCCAAATTGGCTGAAGGAAACTTATTTGTCATAATTGATTTGTTTCAAGGAGCGAAATCTATCACTTTGTACTTTATATGGCATGTGGGGGGATTGTTTAGGAAAAATAAAAAAGTTAGAAAGTTTTTTTTTGAAAAGATCATCAATTTTTAGAAAACAAACCTCCCTAAAGACTTTAACAGGCAATCGAAACGTTTGGGGCTCTGCCCTGATGCGAGCAGTCTTGTTACTCCGGCCTTCCAAGAATGTGAGCAATATATATGCTCAGGGGTGAGTTTTTTTATTCAAATCATTTTTACAAAACTCTGGTCCTTCAATTGATCTATCTCTTGAGCTGCTTGAGGCCAACCGAAAGTGCACAGCACTATAGTAACCTGCAATGAGTATGGCTAAAATTACGGCTGGGATTACAGCTAAATAACTTAATTCCATGTTTTTTTTTGAAGAATGAGCATCGAGAATCAGTTAGCTTGAGTCTGAAGTGAAATCCGTCACACAAAGCGAGTTAAATTGTCAAAACTTCCCCAAAAAGTATGAAAGTTCAAACAAGGCGATACCCTAAAAAATCGGCTCAATTTTTTCTGTTCCGAAAGTTTTGGTTAAATAGCTATTTATTAAAGTTATGAGCTACAAAACGTTACATTTTACAGCTAGACGCTGAACATAAAACAAGAAATTTCAGAAGCACGAATTTTTAAATACAAACTTTGGAGAAGTTCAAGACTAAGAACTACACCAAAAAAATTTTCTCTTCAGGTTTCTTTTCCACAACTTGGGTTGTTAAAACAACCCTACTCAAGACAACCGTACCTTAAAACATATGGTTGTCTTGATATCTAAATCAAAATTTTTTTTTCTAAGATTGTTTTTGGGGTTATAAATAACAAATTTGCAGCGTTTGCGTAAATCAATGCGAAAATTTAGCACGAAAAAGACCTAGATTAGGCTTAAACTAATTTGGTTCACAAAAAAATTAAAATTCAAGCGAGGATAGACGGTTGCTGTGCAGGTAGCACATCATGTTCCGACCACATTCATAAAAAACAACAAAATTTTTTTAAAAAAAATTCTTCGAGTTTGTCGTTTCTTGTGCGTTAAAAAAAATACACAAAAGTGTATAAAACTGGTGAAATAGGCATGAACATCAAATTTGCAACAATATGATAAAATTTAAAAAAAAACTAACAAAATTAAGATTAAAAAATAAAATAAAATAAAAAAACACTTCAAATTATTTCTAATTAGCCACAAATTGTAAAATCTTGTTCAGGAAGATATCAAAGCCAAAAGATTTTTGCCAACCGTCAAAGGAAACTTCCAAATCTTTTTGGTGTAGTGGAATCAATGCAAAAATTTTAACACTAAAAAGACCTAGATTAAGCTTAAACTAATTTGGTTCACAAAAAAATTAAAATTCACCTTTATTGATGATTTAAAGATTGATAACAAGGCCAATTTGGGACAATTAACGCGCAATAAAATTTGCGCTATTAATGCGTATGCTGAAATTTAATCCGCCATAAAAATCGTTCCAAATTGGCTGAAGGAAGCTTATTTGTCATAATTGATTTGTTTCAAGGAGCAGCGAAATCTATCACTTTGTACTTTATATGGCATGTGGGGGGATTGTTTAAGAAAATCAAAAAGTTGGAAAGTTTTTTTTTGGAAAAAATCATCAATTTTTAGAAAACAAACCGCCCTAAAGACTTTAACAGGCAATCGAAACGTTTGGGGCTCTGCCCTGATGCGAGCAGTCTTGTTACTCCGGCCTTCCAAGAATGTTAACAAAATATATGCTCAGGGGTGAGTTTTTTTATTCAAATCATTTTTACAAAACTCTGGTCCCTCAATTGATCTATTTCTTGAGCTGCTTGAGGCCAACCGAGTGTGCACAGCACTATAGTAACCTGCAATGAGTATGGCTAAAATTATGGCTGTGATTACAGCTAAATAACTTATTTCCGTGTTTTTTTTTGAAAAATGAGCATCGAGAATCAGTTAGCTTGAGTCTGAAGTAAAATCCGTCACACAGAGCGAGTTAAATTGTCAAAACTTCCCCAAAAAATATGGTTGTCTTGATATCTAAATCAAAATTTTTTTTTCTAAGATTGTTTTTGGGGTTATAAATAACAAATTTGCAGCGTTTGCGTAAATCAATGCGAAAATTTAGCACGAAAAAGACCTAGATTAGGCTTAAACTAATTTGGTTCACAAAAAAATTAAAATTCAAGCATGGATAGACGGTTGCTGTGCAAGTAGCACAACATGTTCCGACCACATTCATAAAAAACAACAAAATTTTTTTTTTAAATATTTCTTCGAGTTTGTCATTTCTTGGGCGTTAAAAAAATACACAAAACTGTATAAAACTGGTGAAATAGGCATGAACATCAACTTTGCAACAATTTGATAAAATTTAAAAAAAACTAACAAAATTAATAACAAAAAATAAAATAAAGTAAAAAAACACTTCAAATTATTTCTAATTTGGCACAAATTGTAAAATCTTGTTCAGGAAGATATCGCAGCCAAAAGAATTTTGCCAACCGTCAAAGGAAACTTCCAAATCTTTTTGGTGTAGTGAAATCATTTTTAAACTCCTAAATGACAAGTTTTTATATTACGAATATTACTTCCTCAATCACTTTACTCGCTCGAATTTAGGCCTAAGAATAAAAATTTTTAACCACAACATTTTTAACCTCAACATTATATCAAGTTATTGCAATTTGTTTGTAGTGGTTTGAATCACGACTGAAAGGACGTTATCATGATATATCATTCGACCCATTCCGATGATTGTTTGTGGTATCTGATTTTGCGGGGAGAACAAAAAATGAAGAAAAAAACTTTACAACATGAATTCAAAGTTCCTTCCCATTTTGAAGTGTCAGCGTATCAATAGAGTAGAAACACATCAACTTGTATTTGATTTTGCGTGATTGAAGGTTTGCAAAAAATGATTTTGTCGAAATTTATAAATTTTTGGCCAAAAACTCTTTCATGAACCTTGAAGCGCAGTCAGATTATTCAGTGGTTCTCCTTGGTAATAGCATTCTGGTTTAATTCTGCCTGTTTTTGTGCAAAAAAAACAAAAAAAAAACGCCACGTTAGCTTTGCAACCATAAAAGCTCAAAACAATTTGTGGCATTGAGTTTTCACAAATCAAAGTATATGTCAGAATGAGCAAAAACAATAAGGTTTTCATTGATAGATTTTTCAATTCAATCAAAGGACCATTATGGTTTTAACAATTGAAAAGATATTTATGGAAAAATGTCTTATTACATCTAAACTGAAACATTATTCTAGTTTTAATAAACTGCCACTTACCTCGATCGCCTCTGTCGCCTTTTGACCCTGTGTTTCCAGATTTACCTGTGTCACCTGAAAAAAAAACATCCCTTCAAACAATCGGAAACTGTTCTATAATGTATCACATTTTTTGGGAATAGTATAAAAGTTAATGGATCTCTTGGTATTAAATGCCGCCGAGTTTTAGATATTTTTTGTTGTGAACCAAACATGTGAACTTAAGTTTGTTCACATATGTGTTCTTTTTGATGGCTGTGACAACACAAAATGGAACTTTTCTTTCCATTGTACCTGAGGTTGTTCACTCCCTTTTCCTTAAATTTCTCACTTGTCAGTTAGATTTCACAGTTGCCATGCTGTGAATGCCTTTCAACCTATGTCACTTTGTTTCAAATGCCCAATAAACCGGCTGACAAAGATAAGTGCGATAATTGAAACCGTTATCCACGTGGCTCCAATAAACAGCTTTGCGGGTCTTTCAGCCCAAATAGTGCTTATTTTAATGGTAGGGGTATTTAGGAAACACGTAAAAACCTAACAATGAGTAATTGGTTTCTATTGTGAAGAACTCCGGAGTAAGATTCCGATTCGATTATTCAATTTTATCGCGCAGTTGCAGGACTAACTGCGTGTCGTTATTTAATAAAGCCACCATGGATTGTTGATTCCTGCAGGGTGGATGGGTGAGAGGGGGGTTGTTCTCATTTTCGCACTATCTGATTACGCACTAGAACGAAAAAAAACTTCCTATGGCGCAGGTTAATCACTCACCTTTTTGACATTTACAGTTTCCAGGGACAAATCCTCCGATAATTTGCTGCGAACTGGCTGCCAAATCATTCTAAAAAATCACCAAAATTTGAAACTATTTGAGTTATATAAAAATACATTTTTCTTTTTGTTGTTGTTGAAATTTAAAGCTTTTTTCCCAGTTTCCCACCCTTCTCGTAACATTACAAAATATAATTGTTTTAAAAGTTGTTCGTACGGTAATTGCATGTGAAAAATGTTGGTTGCAATCTGTTCACTTGTTCATGCTGGCACGTTTAATTGCAGTTACAAAATCAAAAATCAATTTAAAATAAATTTTTGAATTTGAGTTTTTGAAAAAAAAATAAAGGGGGGGGGGTGAACTGGAAAAGAGGCAAAATTGAAACTGACATGTGAGTAAGCCCCCCGACTAATGGCTGCCACGTGTTTCTTCAGCAGGTCCACATCTGTTTCCAGCTGTGCCTTCTGGATGAAGAGAGTGACGCTGAGACAGAGGGAGAGGAGCGCCAGAATGAGGGCGAATAGGAGCATGTTCTGGATGCAGGTGGAGGAGGCATGTCTGTTCCCAAACACCAGCACGTACTCCTGCAAAAAAAACATTGGATTCCTTTGAAACTGCGGAAAGAGAAGCAGATCAAATACTATTTGACTTGTCTGAGGCCAGAGCAAAAGAGTTGAGGCCTGCTGAAAAAGATTTCTTAAAACTAGGGAATTTTTCGATTGCCGATTAGAATTAGTGTACTTTTAGCTTAAAAAACGTTTGACTTTGATATTGTTTAGATCATCAATTTGTGGCTCAAAAAGTTCAAATAAAGGATAAAAGTTAGTATTGTGGCGCAGAAGAAGAGCTGAACACTCCGCATTCAGAACATGGAAATTGCAGATGCGTAAGAAGAGTTTTAAAAATCGTCACTGCTTATTTATTTGACTGAAAAAAAGATTTTGGAGTTAAATTTGTATTGAAACAGCGTCTTTTTTTATTTAAACGAAGGACAAAATTAAATGAAAAATCAGAATACGCTTCCTTATGGACAAAATTAAATGAAAAATCAGAAAAAAAATCAGGCAGTTTGTTTTGGTCAAAAAAGTGTTTTTTTTTAATCATAACTGGGCAGTTTAGTAATCTTATGGACATGTATTTATGAAACCAAATTGCTGTCTCAACCAGGCGGATTCATTCGGCAAAAGCAGTCAGCTAACTTTTCTGAGTTGAGAAGACAGAAGGGTTTCGAAAACCCTTTATTCGAATTTTCCCAGAAATCTTTTTTTGTTCCGACCATTGAAATTGGGGAAGAGCTTTGTGATCACGGGTGTTTTAGTTTTTTTCCACTAAAAACGAGGCACCACAAGTATTCATCAGAATGACTAAAATGATGTATCATTTTGAAGCAGTTTCAGTCATGAGTAAAAAAAATTAAAAATTTAACAAAGTTTTTTTCAGAGTCGAAAAAACCCGTTTGTTTTTTATTTCACTTTTGTACTAAATTTGCGCAAACAAAACGAACGAGCATGCTTGAAAAAGCTTTTTTATGCTTAATTTAGGATGTTGAACCTTAATTTTACCCGAGTAAAATAAATTTTTTTTTATATTGCCATATTGAGAAAAAACTTCAAAAATTTAACAAAATTTGGCATAAAAGATCAATGGCTGTCCAATTTGCCTATTTTGCTATGATTATCAAGTATGTCTAAATTCTGGTTTTTTTTTCAAATCTTTTTATCACACCATGCAGAAAAAACGACAGTAATTTGAAAAAAAACGGTAATTTCTAAGGCTACGGTCGGATCATTCAGTACTATTGACACAAATAACCGGCTATGCTTTTTAAAACTTAGCCCTGGTTGTTGTTGCTTAAGGGATTTGTCTCAATTCACCTAGGATCAGTTTTCACTGTTTCAATTCCATGCGATTAGCATCAAACTTCGAAACCCGTACTAAGGTTTTTTCTACAAAAATTTTACATTATTAAAAAAAACTAAAACTAATTCTTATGATAAAATTGAAAAAAAATCCAATTGAAACTTTGACATTAATGAAATCATTGTGGATGGGTTAAAAAACGATCAAAGTTATATGTTTTGTGTTTTCTGAACTTTTTTTTGGCCTAAATCAGCCGTCAAGTTAATTGGCCAATTCTTGCTCCGACAATCCTAAAACTGACCAATTGTTTGTACTTTGAGTAGCATTTCAATCTAAATTTTTTTCAATCAATTTGTTGTTTTTTAAATCATCCAAAAAACTTCAAAAATGTGAGTACAAAATTTGAAAAAGAAACATATTTTTAATGAGGCGTTATGAGTGTTTGAAAAATGCGATCAGGATTAGTTGAGCGATTAACGAGCAATATCTTTGTAGCTTTTAATGCGTAAAATGACAAACTAAAATTTGCAAACTGAATTGAGCGGGCAGTTTTTTTGTTACTTGAATTCAACAGGTAACAAAACTGAAAACGTAAGCTTTTCTTCTTAGTTAGCGGGAGGAGGGACGAAAAAAAAACAAATAAAAAATTTCTCTAATTATTCTCACTATTCTAAGAACTTTTTCTGTGAAACTTTTTGTTTTTACCTGAAAAGTTATTCTAAAGTCACTGAAGGAAACAAGCATTTTTGGTCATGATAATTAGATATCATTTCAAATATACTTACTTATTTTTTAAACCAGCTACCTTATTAGACTTCTTAACCTTCCTCAATCTTCATTAATGGTGAGAAAAGCGTAATCTGAAAATGATTTTGAAAGGACAAAGGAAGCATTTGTTTCAAGTGTTTTCCTAAAGATTCCAACCTAATCTTCTGCCATTTGACAATTTTTTTTGCTCAGCGCTAGTGTGTATTGCACTAAAGAAGCTATTTAGGTTCCATTAGTTGAGACTAGACATTTGAAGTAGAATTGACAATCGTTCTGTAAGCAAACAAAATTTAAATGACGATTATAAAGTTGGAATGATTTTAAAGTTCAAGTTTTTCTGAGACATTGTCTTTTTTGTATTTAAGCGAACGTATAATGTATTTACAGCATGGTCATTTGATCATAAGGAAAAAGTTTGTTTTTGGTCAAAAAAGTTACTCGTATCATAACTGCAGTTTAGTATTGTTATGGACTTGAATTTATGAAACCAAGTTGTTTTCTCAACCAGGCGAATGCAGTCGACAAAAGACACCAGCTAATTTTTTTGAGCAATTAAGAAGACAGAAGTGTTGCCTAAATTTCTTAATTGGATTTGTCACAGAAATACATTTTTGTTCAGACTATTGAAAATGGAAAGGAGCTTTGCGATCAGGGGTGTTTTATTTCTTTTCCTTTCAAAGTGAGGTACCGCAAATACTCATCGGACTGGGTCAAACGGTATATCATTTTGAAGCCCTTTCAGTCGTGATTAAAAGAAAATAAAAAATACAAAAAAAAATTCTTTCAGTGTCGACAAAAAACCCGTTTGATTTTTTTTTGTTTTCGTTCTAAATTGGAGCAAACAAAACAAACGATCAGGCTCACAGAGCTTATTTATGCTGAATATAGGGTGTTGAATTTTAACTTAACTGAAGTAAAATAAAGTTAAGTATTTTTCTTGCCATTTTGAGAAAAAAAATTCCAAAATTTAATAAAATTTTGCATAAAAGTTTGACGGCTGTCCAATTTGACTATTTTGCTATGATTGTCGAGTGTGCCTATGTTTTGGTTTTTTTGTTTATAATGTTTTATTACACCATGACGAACAAATGACAAGAATTGGAAAAGGAAATTTTTATTTTCTAAGACTCTGGTCGGGTCGGATTATTCTGTGCTATTGGCACAAGTAACAGGCTATGCTTTTTGAAACTTAGCGTTGTTGGTGTTGCTTAAAAAATTTGTCTCATTTCGCTTGGGCCTAGTTTTCATTGTTTCAATTCGATACAATTAGCTTCAAACTCCAAATCTCGTACTAAGGATTTTTCCACAGCATTTTTATAGTGTTCAAAAAGGAATTCAAATTCTCATGATAAAAAAGAGAAAAATAAACAAAATTTTACGCCTTCAATTGAAATTTTCAATAAAAGAAAGTCATTGTGGATGCGTGAAAAAACTATCAAAATTTTATGGTTGGTGTTTTCGGCTATTGTTTGTGCTCAAATCAGCCGTCAATTTAATTGGCCACTGTTTGCTCCGACAAAATGACCAATTAGTTGTGCTTGGGGTGGTTTTTGGAGCTAACTTTTTATTTGTTCCTTTTGCTTGTTTTTTTTTTCAATATCATCCAACATGATGTATCAAAGTTGTGAGCACAAAATTTAAAAAGTATTTTTCTTAGGATTATTTTTTGGCGTTATGAGTGTTTGAAAAATAGATATTGGCTAGTTTGAGGCGATTGACGCGCAATACATTTTCAGCAATTGAGGTTTTAAATGGCAAATTCAAGGCAGTTTTTTCGCTGTCTGACATCAACAGATAACCAGGCTGAAAATGTTTATTTAGCGCGAGGAGGGACCACAGAAAAAACGAAAAAAAGTTCTTTAATTGTTTTAAAACTTTCTAACCGATGGTTTTCTATGGACATCAAGTGGCACTCAGAACATTTAAGACCTTACCTGTATACGAGCAGTCTTGGTTTTATATCGACAACAATGCAAAAGCTTTAACAACATGAACATGTATTTTGGGTGCTTGAGACTAAACTACGTAATCATTGTTACGACTTTCGAAGAAACTGATGGAATTGCTGTTCTCAGGGTGGTTTCCTCTCAAGATGAATTGAGTTTTCAACAAATGATTTCTGGCAAAAAGTTTTCATCATGTAAAAAGTATCGCTGTCTTTAGCACAAATTGAAAAGCTGTTCCAAAACTTTCCAGAAACAGTTCAAAATTGTAATGAAGCATACTATTCAGGACGAGTGAAATATCTTTATAAGCAAAATATGACACTATTACGTTTGTAGCGTGTGAGTGGTTAATTGTCCAAAAATTTGTATCAACAATTTTTTTCTGAAACATTTTTTTACTCGATAGAAGTTAAAGGCAGAGTCTTCAGGGCTTCGACTTGATACGAGCATTCTTGGTCATAATAATTAGAAATATTTTCATTTAATTTGTAAACCATCTACCTTAGAAGACTTCTCAACCTTCCTCAATCTTCATTTATTGCAAAAAAAAACCGTATTCTGAAATTGATTTTGAAAGGACAAAAGAAAAATTTCTTTCAAGTGTTTTCTGACAGATTCGACCAAAATCTTCTGCATTTTGTCGCCTTTTTTGCTCAGCGCTAGTGCATATTGCGCCAAAAAAGCGATTTAGGTTCCTTTAGCGGAGACTAGACATTTGAAGTAGAGTTGACAACCGTTCTGTAAGCAAACCAATTTTGAGTGATGATTAGCTTCAATTAAGAACTTAAATGAAAAAACTCAAAAAATTTGTTTTTTGAATTTTGAATTTTGTTTGAATTTTGACCGGCTACAAAAATAAGTTTTTCAAAAGGATCAATCAGCTTTCTGCAAAAGGAAGGTTTTTGTATAACATGGACCCCTGGGCGACTTATGTAACGACCATGTCGAATCATGTGGCCGACCGACACATTTGGTTGACCCCTATGGACATTTGGGTTAAAAAGCTGACATTTGCAGAGCCATATGGTCCATACAAAGCTCGACCACCTCGCCCAGGTCATTACATTATTTCAAAATTGTTTCGAAAATGAGGACAAGTTGCGCTGTTCTTATAATTTATAGTAGAACTTTAATCCGATTCGTCCAAATATGTTCGGAATAAATGATGCTTTTTTACGTTGAGGTTTCAAAACGGTCCATACATAATTTGCCCACCTCACCCGGGCACTAAATCATCTCAAATTGGTTGAAAAAAAGAATAGGTTGTGCTCTGTTTTGATAATTTCTAGCACAAATTTGTTCGCTATTGATCCCTGTTTTTACCTTGAGGTTTCCGAAAGTATTGCTCTCTGTACTTCTGCACTTGGTCTTGTGGGTCTTCAGGGGTCTCAATTCCGGCGGAAGGGGCTCGTGCAATTCCATACTGTTCATGCTTCTGTTCAAGTTCATAGTGGGAATAGAAAATCTTCTAATGAGCTTTTTAGTAATAAAGTTATTTCAACTGTTGTAAATTTTTCTTGATAAGATGGGTATAAACTGCTCACGATAAAACTCTGGATACTTTGGATATAAAAAAAGGGCAGAGTAGTAAGTTATGATAAATTTTTGCAATGAGTTTGTTAGATATAACTGAGTTGTTTTTAAAAAAATTCCAAATTTGACAATTCAAACTATAACTTAACAATTTTGATGAATTTTTATTGAATATACTGATTCAGACCTAACTGTTTTATTTATAAATTACAAAGAAATTCAAGTAGAATCAACGTAAGAATGGTGTAATTAAAAAATTACTGTGTGGGTTAATGACAATATTTTCCAGTTCAGATCAGACACTTCGTCGCTTGAACAACATGGTAAGTTTTCACAAGTGCGCCATTTGAAGGGAAACGTCTACTTTGTTAAACGAGCGAGAATCGGGCTAACAAGTCAATGTGTGTTTTATGTATTCCACTCTGGGAAATTAAAAATTAAAGCTCGAGTTTGAGCCCAACCATAACAAGTGGAGGGGAAAAGGGTTTTGTAAATACACAACTTAAGTGTGGGTATAAGACCGGGCAATGTTTCTATCTGGCAAAATACCTTATTACACTTATTTCCAGTAATGGAAACTGAGCCGGGCATTAACTTTGGGTTATGTGAATCAAATGTCGCTATGTTTACTAGGCATAGTTAAGGCACAATTAAAAAAAATACAATGAACCACTAAACTCATCTTAGATTTGCATCACTGGAATTGCAAAAAAACGGGAAAACTTAAAAATTTCCAGATTTTTTTTCCTACTTCACTGATTTGTGGTTATATGATTAAGCAAAAACCTTTTGGAAAACGTTATGTTTTTCTGGATTTTCTTCATTCCGAACCTTCGGTTCAGGCTTTAAATCCGGCTAATTCTCTGATTTGGTTCAATTGCTCCTTCTTATACTGAAGTTGTCAAATGAATTAAGGAGTTTGCTTGTGGTCCTGCATGAAGAAGAGATAATTCTCATGTCCTGTGGAGTTGAAAGAAAGATTTGTCCATTTCAGCTTAAGATAAAACTTAAAGGTTCCGAAACTGTAGCAAGATTTATTACCGCGCGGACATAAAACCGAAGATTTCAGAAACTTACTTGACTGCTCATATCTTCGGGTGGGGTAGTTCATTTCATGTTCCGACTTTATTGTCAATCACAGTTGCAGTGCTCGACCGAAATTTCTCTCTCGTGAACTGCACTCTTGAAAATGTTCATGTGTCTTCACATAAGCAATGCTCACGTGATTCGTATTTCAAGTAAGAAACCATGAAAAAGAATTTTTTGAGCTCACGTATACAAACGCGGGCAAGATTTTTCGAACACGAGTTAGTTGCTCTTCTAGTGTTTTTTCACGTAAAATAGTCTGTTTTAAAGTTCATAATCCTTGCGCAGAAAAAATACCAAAAATTAACAATGGTTTTGGGTCGAAATAAATCTTGCGCGCTGCCTTTATTTTTTTTATTTTTTGAAACAGTTAAACTTTGTTTTCAATCGAAAAGTTTTGCAACAGAAGGCTCGAAAACACTATTCTAACAGAGTGCTGTTTTAAAACAAACCCACTCATTAAAAAGGAATTTTATTCGAATTTTGAATATATTTCAAGCAAATGAGCCCAAAACACCGAGTCCCAAAATTGACACTTATTAGGCGGCCCGTTTCAAAATCATTATTAGGCGGCCCGATTTTTTATTTGAATTACATAAATATAATAAAGAAAAGATATACAATTCAGAGGATTGCAAAAAAGAAAATAAAAAGCATTTAGGCAGCGGGCTAGTGAAAAGCAAATTAGTAGGTCGCCTAGATGATCAGAGATGACTGATTCACGCTCGGTATACAGCTGATGCCGGAAGTAAAAGCAGTGGAGCTAACGGTTTCCGGTATCGAGTTTAAAGCGTTAATAACCAAATATTTCAGGAAATTTGAAAGCAAATTATGATCAACTACGTTGATAACCAAATATTTCAGGAAATTTGAAAGCAAATTATGATCAACTATAATATATTTTAATCAATTATTATCGATTAATAATCGATCTATTTTTCGATACAATTTTGATTGATTATTTTAAGCCCAACTTCTATTTCAAATTTTGCTTACAAAACTTCAATTAGAATTGATTTTAATTGATTATAATCTTTTTTGTTTGCCCAACTTGGTTTGGACCTTACTTGTAAATTGTTTATATTTTATGCTTTTTGTAGTCGCTGCTTTCAGTAAAAAGTGCAAAAATTATTTTAAAAGCTTTCACATCAAATCAAAGATATAACTTTTATATTTTTTTCATTTCTCATTGAAATTGTTTCAAGATGCAATTAAAAAAACTTTTATCCACCAAAATATCAGCACATTGCTTTATCTTTGGAAGTTTTATTCGGAAGATTTATTTTTCACCTGAACCTTTCAACTAAAATAAAAGGTTCTCCATGACAATTTTATTTCGTGGTAAAACTTTAAAATTTGTGTTCAGATAAGCCAAAGCGTGACAAGCCATCTCGCTTTTAGAGGTTTTGTTTTACACAAAAAATATTGGCCCATTGAATATAATTGATTTATACTTTTTTGTGACAGAATTTGGCATTTATACTTGATTTGAAGATTTTTTCTTATGAACTTATATCACTTATAATCGATTATTATGGATTATAATTTATTGGAAATTATCACGTTTATAATATATCAAATATCCTTTAAAGACCTAATTTTGGTAATTAGAATCAATTAAAATTGTTAAAAATTATCATAATAATCCTTTATCGTCGATAACTTACACCTAAACTTTGATGCGGGAAACTGTTTTCTTTTTAAGCTTCAAACTGTTGTGTTTGTTTCCAGGACACAATAAACAAATCAGAAAAATTACCGACTAATCGGCAATAATCTCACTAACTGCAATTTGAGGTTTGCCTTTGCTGATATTTGTCTTTGCTGTAGTTGAACCACTACAGCTGAAATAAATGCTAATTGCAAGAAAAAAAAATATGTTCCTGAAAATTTTGCCTTATCAAACGATATGTTCGCAATTTGAAAACACTCGAAAAAGTTAAACTAAAGTATTTATATTTTACTTGAATTAATTAATTGAATTAGTTGATTGAAATGAACTAAGTAATTTAGATGCGAGTTTACTTCATAAGTTTGTTCAATTTATTCGCTTTTGCAGGAGTTGAGATTGATGGCAGGAGTTGTGATCGAAGTTGGGTTACAGGAATTGGTATCGAAGTTTGGTTACAGGTATCGGGATCGAAATTGGGTCACAGGAATTGGGATTGAACTTGGGTTACAGGAATTCAGATCGAAGTTAATGACAGGAATTGAGACTGGTAGCTGATCAACTTAGCTGAGATTGAACTTGTTGGTGAACACCTAGTAAATAAACGATATAAATTAAAACGTTACCACATATAAACATATATGTAAATGGAATCCGCGAAAAAAAAAGCGCATTCCGCTTACATTTTGCGGATTCTACTTACAATTTGCGGATTCTACGTACAATTTGCGGATTCCACTTACATTTTGCGAATTCCATTTACAGTCGCGGATTCCGCAACAGCTCAACTTAACGATACAAATGTCTTATCATTTGTTTGTGGATTCCACGAACTGTTCTGGATTCCGCAAATACAGTTGCGGATTTCGCAAATTCGACTATTTTTGGAGCGATTTTGAGCGGTACAACGATTTAGGTATTTGTTTGTGGAATCCAAAACAGCATAGAAGATCAAAGAAAAGTAGCAATGTTGCGGATTCCGCGATAAATCTGATTTTGGCCTGTTGCGGATTCCACTTGGAATGCACAGAATGCACAGTTTGGCCTCGTAATGACGGCTCTTAGGTTTCTCTCTTCGATGAAAAGTTAGCTCAAAATTGATTACAGCTGATTAAACTCTTGGAAAAAGTTTGGGCGTTGATTTTCCACGTGTAATTTTACTGTAAGTCTCAGTCATTCAAATCAAATACACTTTTTTTGTGTCGAGCCATCCACTTTTCCTTTTGAATCTCGCCGAACTATTGTATGGAATCGACTGGTACCTCAATTGGAAAAGAACTTCCAATAAATTCTGGTGAGAGTTAATTTTTTTTTTAAAATGAATCGGCCGTTGATGACTGAAACATAACAAAACTCAGACACAACTCCTAGGTTCTGTTACGAGGTCAAAAAGTGCACTGGATGGGCGCACAATTCAGTGAGTGAAAGTCACTTACGCCACATATTGATGCCAAATTACGCTTTGAACTGACACAAATATTTAAATAAAATCGTCTCAAATGGGTTCGGTTTCCAGCAAAAAGTATAAAAATTCCCAAAATTAGGCAATTATAATCGGTTAATTTGATTAGAAATAATTTTTTTTTCTGCTGAGAAAAACAATAGTTTTTTAATCATAAAATTTATCTTTACCTAAATACGGTCGATTGTTTTTGTTGAGATTGACTAGCAAAAGACAAAATAACCGATCAGCATCAATTGATTTCCGGTTGGGAGGGTCATGAATATATCTTATCGAGTTAAAACAATGAACCCGATGGTGGCCAAAATATGCATGTATGCCAAACGTCCCCAGCATCAAAGTTTCATGAATAAAAATCGATTAAAATGGATTTTATTTGACTAAGATGTTGTCTTTATAATCGATTATCATGGCCAATTTAGACAACCTAACGGATGTTTAATCCATTTTCGATGGTTTTCAAAAATAAAACTTCTATAAAATCAATTGTAATTGATTATAACTCATTTTTTTTCAATACAATGGCTTATTTTTTGTACATAAAATCCATGAAAATTGATATAAAATTTGTAAAAAATGACTTTTGCTTTTTGCAACTTGATACATAACTCGAACTAACACTTTCATACAGGGGCGGCCAATAGTTAGTAATTTTGAAGAAACGAATATGTGGTAACTTTACCAAAAGGTCCCAAAAACGGCATTTTTGATCAGTTCTTTAAAAAATTTGGCTGCAGCGCTCGGAAAACCAACTTGGCCGACTTGATAAAATTTCGGATGTTTTTGAAAGTCCGCCCAACGTCCCCCTACCCTACACACCCCCAAACAACCTCCCACCTCACGCGTTTAACACACCCCACTAAACACTAAACACCCCCCACCGGGACAAGTAACTATGTAGTATGTGTAAACGTGGAGATGGGGTAGTGTAGGGTCTACCCCGCAACCCCCCCCCCCCCCACACACACACACATTTGCATACTAGTTTAAAAAAAATAAAATAATAACAAAAACTTTATAAATTTTCATAAACTCTCTTGAAATTAGGAAACAGTTGTAATTAAGCGAGAGAACAGCAAAACTAACTTAAATTCAACCTTATCATGAAAAAATGAAAGCAACTTACCAAAAAACTTTAATAAATGGACTAGAATCCATTATAATTGATTAAAACTTATTATTTTTCTTTTGATAAATTTTTTAAAAAATAAATTGAAAATTATCGATTATAATTGTTTAAATTGAACTTTTTTTTGCTTGAAAATAGTATCATTATAATCCAATATAGTCAATTAAATAGCATTATCTTTTTCCTTTTAACC